ATATGTGGTGTTTTTGCTGTGTGTGTTTGTCTGGCATGTTGGTCTGTGCACATGTGGTCTAGGCTTTTAAATCAGCTTGTAATGCAAGCAGGGAATGCAGTTATGAGCTTTATTTCAGTTTGATTAAATGTTGAGCTGTGGTAATATGTCAATATTTGAACAGAATTATCATCATTTTTTGCATTCTCCAACATATGTTTTTCAACTGAGAAGAAATAACTTATCAGGCACTGAAAAATAAGAAGGCATAAATCTTCTTTGGGCATTTTTCAGTCATACAATCTAGGAGTGGCTTCACTAGTACTATTGGATACATATGAGGTAAGCAGACAATATATGATGTCACACAACTACATTCTCCAACACTCTTAGTTATGGAATGCTATGTTAATCTATGTTGTAGGCTTCAGTGCTATTTGACACAACACAAAATTACATAACCAAAATCCTTTCTCAATGAAAATAGATTTGACATAACCAAAGCTAAAGTACCAGTTGACTTTTAATCTATCAAAGATGAGAAAAATACACTTCCCAAATCAAAAATTGACTATAAAAGAAAGCTGACAATTCTTCATTTGGGCAAAGGAACTTCGAAGCTCCACCTAACACTGGAGATGTGAAAAAGTGTACCAATAGCCATTAATGTTGGGTACCTGCTGGCAAGATGGAGGGCAACAGAGATACAATTCTAAATACCCAGTAAACAATAAAAGGTAAATGTTTTAGAAAAGCCAATTGAGCCACAATGATGGCGTCGACCAAAGGCATGTAGCCTACCCAAGGATCAGTTTATTTGTAATAGATGAAAGAAAGAATAGTGTGTTCTTTTGCGTTTTCTCTATATAGATGCAGCTGGGAAGGACTGCTGATAAATGCGTTTTAAATAAGGAAATCATAATAGCTTTTTAAAAAGCCACATTTTGAAATGTCTGTTAGCAATTTAGTGGAGAATAATGACTACACTGTTTGAGATACAACCCCACACTCATAAAGGATACTGAAGGAGAGATCTAATTATGAAAATATTACACATTGATGAGATTCCCTAAAGAAAAGATATCCAGATAGAAAAGAAAATGATTTCTGAATTTTTTTATAGATGATCTGATGTTTTTTTAGACAGTGATATTCTAATCAATGACTTTTGTTATCTGATCCCTGTATTTCTCCAGATCAATAGCAATTGTTAGGGATTCCAGAAATAAAAGGTTGCTTAGTGCACAGCTCTGAATTTTCCTTATTTTCAAACCATACTTACTATGTGATCACTAAACATAATTTTCCTCTGCAATACTTCAAAGAAAACTTACTTAGAATGGATTTTTCCTAGTTTTTCTAGAGATTTTCTGTCTTTTAAATCTGTGTGTTGGTGGTATATTTTCTCAGCTATTAGTGTGTCTATTCATATGATGTTTTCAGTCTATTTTAATCTGGAGATATGTTCCTGAAACAATTTCAACTTGATGGTCACATGTTCCCCACTAAATACATTAAAACAGTTTTTTAAATTAATGTGTTGTATGCAATTTTTAACATATACAAATAAAATTAGTCTCTGAATGTCATTCCCAATGCAGTCTTTAATGTTTTAATTCAACATTATTTTATTTTTATGAAATGAGTTGAGATTTAGTTTTATTTTTCTGTTCTCTAAATGTGAATCGATTCTCAGAATTACAAACTTAGTGAATTTTTTAATGAACTCTTTTTAAGACCTCTAGGACATGCCTCAGTAGTTTTTTCTAGAAATAAATGTAATAAAATGAGTTAAGCTGGGAAGCAGGTACTAATATATTACTGACAGCAGCTGCCTTTAGAGGTTTCATTTTTGGTGGTTGACTTTCCCAGAAGTAGGCTTTATATTAGGACAACTTGATTTTGGGGTATTTTTCTTAGTATCATCTTTAATACCTAAGAACATGGGTCGAGGTGTGGAAATCTGAGGTTGTACAGCTGAAATAGTAAACACATGTTTCAGTACAGGGCCCCACTCATGTTTACACATTCCACTGAAGCTTGCCAAAGCAACATTCACACATTCTGATGATTAATGTAACAAATTCGTCTTTGAGGATAAACTACTGAAAATGAAGCTTGTTTCTAAATGAGCTCCTGACCCCTGGTCTTCTTGGAAACTTATCTTTGTAAAAAAGAATTATGTTACCTGTGAAATATGCTTTCTGTCAGTTGAATTTTATTGTAATTTATATTCAGAAATGTGGAACTATTAATCTACAGAACCTTGTATTCCCTCTGCTTCTTTAGTTACAGTGTTTTGTCTTTGTTTTCTGGTGATCTGAATAACATGCATTTATAGTACTTTATTTTGGATATACTTAAAATATAAGGTATTATTTTAATTATAAGTCAGTATGTTCAAACACTAATGCAATAAGTCATTCATTTGTTGAATTATTGCTATTATTAATTTGGAATAAGAAAAAACTTGCTGGAGTATTTTGATTATGTCGTATTTAATACAGTTGTAAACACGATTTTACAATATTTCACTCCATACCACTTTATTAATATGGTTTAATTTTAAAATGCTTAAATTATAATCATTGTAAGATTATCATAATTCATGGTTAGTTTAAGAGGAAATTGTGAAGGCTGATAATTAAAATGTATCATTTGTATATTTGGGAAACCCAAAGTAGTACTTAAGCAATATATATATATGACAATTGATGGCAAGAAAAAAACAAAAATCATCTAGGAATGTGGTTTTTAGCAATTATTGTTTGATCACAATTGCTATTCATAGTTCTATAGTGATCTCAACCCAAAATAACTCAACTCAATTGTGATGCTTCTTCATCACAATTCTGTGTATCAACACGCCCTGAATGGGGCTGCTTTGTAAGAGGGAGTTAGACACACAGTCAGGTACCAGGAAAGATGAGTCTTGCTTTTCCTCTTGCTTCCTTTTCGTATCAGAAGCTAAACAGGGCATCCGCACATACAGCTCAGAGGCTGTAAAACCACATACAAGTGGGACACACATGATGGAGTCTGACTCCTTGGGGAACCATCATTTTAACAATTTATTACAAAAGCTGACAGCTTTATCCATTTCCTTTTATTAAGAAAGGTCTGTTATTCCTCAAACTCTTGCTGAGATACAAAATGAATTATACTGATTTGAAAGGTTCATACATCAGCCTTAATATTTTTATGGCATTTTAATGAAACTACAATGCTTTCATCTTTAATACTACGAAAAGGCTCCCATCTGAAATATTGTAATCTCAGCTATAAAAGAACTTAAAGCACTATTAAGACGATTTTTTAACATGTGTCAAAATAAGAAATATTGAGATGAATCCTTGGGAGAGAGTTTTTAAATAATATACTCATTCTGGTAGGTTTATTAAAATAATGTCAAGTGAAATAGTTGAAAGAAAATCAACACAGTAATAATAACTTTCTTGTTAATAGACTATTTCACCACATGTGATCGGTCTATGGGAAGCATGTTATTGATGACTGGGTAACAAAAGTTTAGAAGGGTAGATGTCTCCTCTGAGTGTGAGTTAACTCACATTCAAAATGATGAGTTGTTTTTAACACTCTATGCAGCAGTTGCCCTAAGATTCAGATGCAGTACTATTCAATAGATAGCTACAAGTTTTCCAAGTGTATTTTACTCCTCACCATTGAGCAGACACAGCTGCTCATTAGGAAAGGAGAACATCATTCTGAATACTAATTTGCAGTTCTTAGCTTTTAAAGTCTTAAATGTTGACCTTCATCTTTAATACTTTCTAACACTTTGCTTCTTGCTCATGTCATTAATGTTACCTGAATATGATCTTTTTAATTTACTAATAATAGGTAAAAACATGAATGTTTACTTCAAACAGGATTCTGGAAAAACACTTGATGAGCCACTTCATATATACTTTTCCATTTGCCTCGCAAAGACATCTACAATAGAATGACTCTCACATTCAGCTTTGTGAGCCCTACTCCCCCATCTCAGACCATCTCAATCAGAACCCTGCAAGACGGAAGTTTCTAAAAATCCTCCAAAGTGCAATAATATGCAGATGGAATAAAGAGTCGATGTTTTGGTTGCCCTATACACATTTTCTGAAAACCATCTGATGATGTCGCTTGTGATATAGACAGGATAATGTAAAGCTAACTCTGTGTCATCAACCTCATTGTTTTCTTATTATTTAAAATTGATTTCCAATATTTATTTCAGTATGATAAACCAACAAGTCAGCATTTAAAGATAGGCAGATATATTGTGTAAAAAATAACTTGTGGCCTCTTGCTAAAAGGACTCACATTTTTAAAAAGCTTTTAAGATTTGACTGTTGAGGTGAATTAAAACACAATATAGAACATGTCTATTATGTTTAGGGAGAAAAGGACATGAATCACTGATCAGATACAAACTTGCTCCTTTGTCCTACAGAGGCATTTAGCAAAATAATCATTTTATTGTTCAATTATCTAATGATGCAAAGCCTGATCTCCCTAATCCAGGTAAGCTTTCCTTTTAAAAATGTTGTCTCTAAAATATTAAAACAGAAGATTCACATTTTCTTGAATTATTTAAGGTTCTTAACCAAAATTAAAGAATGCATATTACTGTAATATGCTGCAATATAATGTAGGTTAAGGTAATTTGTGTTTTAAGTACTACATACAGCAGAGAATTGACTACGTGTAAGATTAAAGACAAAGAGAACATTTCAAAACTTACAGCATCTTTAGAAAACCCAAAATAAACTTAGAAATGTATATGGTAAACTCAAGTGATAAAATCAACAAATTATATGACAAAAGGTTAGATTCATCTCAAACATTCCATCATTGCATGTTAGAAAGTTTTGTATTTCAGAGTGATGGCTAAAAGAGAATCCTTTCTAACATATAGAACCATTAATTAATGAAGCACCACTGTCTTCACAAATGTAAACAATAAATAGCAAAGAGAGTCTGGAGGAATTCAAAGGCTGTCATTGAATACCAAAACTTACCTGCAAATTTGATGTGAAATTTATTTTCCGGTTTTAGTATCTGAACATACAAAGGACAATTTGGAGCAAAATCTTTCACAGCCCATGCTCTCAAAATTGTTTGGTGATCCTGAAATGATAAGATAGTTAAAATAACCTGAGAATGATTTTAATAATAGAAGTATTAAATTGATAAAATAGAAATTAAAATAGTAAGGCAATTAATTTGTCAGATAGTCAAATCTATAGTTAGAGTTTGAACATAGAAAACTATTGATGTCCCATTTATTAATTGTTGATATCACTGTCTGTGCTAATGGTGTTACGTTCAGGAAGCTGTCTCCTGTATCAATTTGTTCAAGGATACCACCCACTTTCTCTTCTAAGAGGTTCAGTGTGGCTGGATTTATGTTGAAGTCTGATCCATTTGGACTTAAGTTTTGTACATGGCAATAGACATGGATCTATCCACATTCTTGTACATGCCAGCATCCAGTTATGCAAGCACCATTTGTTAAAGATGCTTTCTTTTTTCCATTGTATATTTTTAGTTTCTTTGTCGAAGATCAGATGTTCATACATGTATGGGTTAATATCAGGGTGTTCAATTCAATTCCATTGGTCTACCTGTCTATTTTTGTGTCAATACCAAACTGTTTTCAGGACTACAGCTCTATAATAGAGCTTGAGGTCAGGGATGGTGATGCCTCTAGATGTTGCTTTGTTGAGTAAGGTTGTTTTGGCTATCCTGGGTCTTTTGTTTTTCCATACAAAATTGATTATTGTTCTTTCAAGGACTGTGAAGAATTGTGCTGGTATTTTAAAGGGGATTGCATTGAATCCATAGATTGCTTTTGGCAAGATTGCCATTTTCACTACATTGATCCTACCTATCAACTGAGAAGCTTCTGTAAGACAAAGGACACAGTCAGAAAGACAAAAAGGCAGCCCACAGAATGGGAAAAGATATTCGTTAACCCCACATCTGACAGAGGGCTGATCTCCAAAATTTACAAAGAACTCACGAAGCAAGTCTCCAAAATACCAAAGGATCCAATGAAAAAGTGGGCTATAGAACTAAATAGAGAATTCTCAATAGAGGAGTTCAAAATGGCTGAGAGGCACTTGAGAAAGTGCTCAACATCCCGAGCCTGCCCTGGATGAAATGACAGACTATGGACAACCCCATGGAGGGCCTCACCCTCCCTGGGGAAATGAGGGGATATTGGAGGGGTTTGTGGGAGGGTGTGGGAAGAGGGGAGGGAAAGGGAGAGGGACCTGGAATTGATATGTGAAGCACCCTTTTTCTAATTTAAATTTAAAAATAAAAATAAAAAACTATTGATGTCATTTTGCTTTTGATTTTGGTGTTTTCAGTCAATGTCTTCTATATTCCAGACTGTATTCAACTTTTCTATGCAGATGGGTTTTCCTTGGGACTTCTGATGTCCCTGCTTCTATCTCCTAAGAATATGTACCGTTTCCATAAAGGGTCTAATTCCTAATTCAATCAGAGATATTAAGACATTAGAGACTGGGAGAATAGTAGCTAAACAGTATTAAGCATAATTGGAATTATAATAGAATGGATAGAGTTTTCATCATAATGACAAGCCCCATAGATAAAATAATGATTCCTAATATCAATTTATTTGAAACCCTGAAGATAAAAAGACAACTATAATGAGAACCCAAGCAGAAAACACATTAAACTGTTCATGTAACAGTTAAAGATAAGGCACTTAATTCTGTTCAATGATTATCAGTGTATATGTAAATGTGTGCGTGTGCGCGTACGTACAATGATTAAAAAAAACTCAGACGGAATAAACTGTATTGGGAAAGTTAGGAAGCTAAGAAAATCAAATTGAAATATACTTTCAATGTGAAATCTTGAAGTTCACAATAGTATAAATAGTTATTACATTAAAAAGAATATAGGGCAAATTGTTAGAATAGAATACATAATTACCAGCTAGGTTTTAGAAATGAATGCTGTGGGTTAAAATTGCCATTTAGCAGTCAATAGCTTCATATTGATATTCAAGCTTATTAGCCACCCATCAAGTATTTAGAGCCTTACATGACTAGTAGCTGCAACAGTGGACAGTGGAAATGTAGAAAACTGTATTCAACAGCAAAGAAGAAGATGAGAACAACATCAATGTGTTTTACAAGTGTATATAATGAGTTGAATATAGAAACACAGAAAGAAAAGCCTGTTGTCAATATATAGTAACTGATACATAGTTTTATTTTGTTTATTTTACTGTTTTTATAGTCACACTGCTGTCTTAATTCTCTGAGGTTGTCAGGACTTGGAAAGTGCTTAGGTCCCTCCAAGGGATGCTATCTTTTATAAGAAAAAGGAACCAGTGTTCTTATAAGAGAAAACCTAGAGGGTTCCTAAGTCCCTGCATCCATCTTGTTCTTTTGCAAGAACACAATTGCTAGGAATCCAAAATTCACTTAGCCAGACACTGGATCTGTTTCCACCTTGAGCTTTGACTTCTTAATCTATCACTTATCAATCACACAGCGAGTTCAACTTACATAAAAGCTGGTCAACAAAAAGTCAGCATGGCATCAGTGCACATAGGGATATTCATGAGGACATACACATGACACAAGGACACTAACAACATTACTAATAGCCCTCAAATAAATATCTGTTATTTAATATAGCATGATTCTGAGGTTACAACATTAAATTGAATGTATGATGTTTGTCTTTTCTTTCATTAAAGGCACAAAATTGAAGAAAACCACTGTCAAACTATACTAAACTATATATATTTAAATTTATTTTATGTTATTTTACAATGATTTAACTGTGTGTACCTCAGTATCCAATTGGGCTTAGATAAGTCAGAGTTTCCAAGTATAAAATTCAGACACATTTCTGTCACACAGCATTGCTATGAAGAAAACCCATCATACATACAAAGATCTTATAGAATCCAACAGTAAATGTTGAACTAACACAAACCATTTTCCATATTCTTAGAAACATTTAGGAGCAGAAATAATAAAGTTAGGATAAAATATAAGTAACAAAGAAGGAGAACATTAACAATGAGAGATGAAAATCACCATGAAAATAAAGAATAGAGAATGCAAAAGAAGAGCAAAGAAAAGTCTGAAGAAAACCAGGAAAATAGAGTGAGAATTTTTTTTTAACCTAACTCTCCTCAGATGGCAAAGTCTAGTAAGTGCCTACTCCTTGGATTCGCTTTGAGACCTTCACTGTCTCGGTTCCCAATGTTAGAAGTTGCACAAGAAGACCAAGGTATAAAACTATAACATATGCAATCCCACAGAGGTTCCCTAGTTGGCAGTTCAGTCTTTGTGAGCCTCTATGTGCCAGATTTGATGATTCTGTGTGTATTCTTGTGGTGTACAAACCTCTCTGGTTTGTACAAACATTTTTCCTATCTTCTGTAGAATTCCCAGAGCTCAGTCTAGGAGCATCTGTTTCATTCAGTTTCTGAAAGTAGCCTCTCTGAAAACAAATGGCCTAGGCACCAAACATGTTTGTCTTTCTGGGTCTAGATAACCTCACCCTCGATGATCTTTTCTAGTTCTATTCCTTGCCACCAAATTTCATAATGTTATTGTTCTTAACAGCTGAGGAACACTCCTCCACTGCTGGTGGCAGCCCAAAACTTGAAGAATTGTTTTGGAAATCAATATGGTAACTTTTCAGAAAATTGGGAATAGATCTACCTTAAGACCCTGTTATACCACTCATGGGAATATACCCAAAGGATGCTCTACCATACCACAAGGACACTTGCTGAACTCTGTTCATAGCAGCTTTAGTACTTTTATTCATAGCATCCAGAAACTGGAAACAACTTAGATGTCCCTCAACAGAAGAATGTATAAAGAAAATGTGGTATATTAACACAATGGAGAGTATTTAAAACTAAATTTATTAATCTCCAAAACATTGAAAAACCAGGCACCAGTGAAGATGTGAAATGATAGGAAGTGTCACTTGCTACTGCCAGGAAATGACTTGGGAAGATCATTTTAAGGAAAATATACATTTGACCCAGAATTAGGGTCTTTAATATTTATAGAAGTAGTAACAACATGTCCACACAAAAATGCCTATAGGAACTTTATTTATAATAATCAACAGAAATAATCAGATAAAAATAATCAACCTCTTTCCACACATGAATATATAAAATAAATTCTGCTGCATTTATGCAAGGGGATATTTTATGGTGAAAAGAAATGTCCAATCAAACCAGAACACACCATGGATAATCTCAAATGCTATTGATGAGAGAGAAAACAGGGCCAATCTGAAAAATCGATAAACTACAGAATCCAACGGACATGATTTTCTCAAAAGGTGGAAGAACAGGGACAATTATGAGCTCAGTACTTGCTGGATCTGGAAGGTGTGTGTGTGTGTGTGTGTGTGTGTGTGTGTGTGTGTGTGTGTGTACAAAGATATAAGAAAAGTGCAGAAACAGAGAAAACACAGCCCTTTCTTCAAACTTCTGATAAACTAATATTGAAGTCCTTGGAAATTATCTGTATTACATGCTGGGTCTATCTCAAATTTTTCTGCAGGAGGATTTGATACGAGGAGCATACCACCACCATACCACCACAGCTGGTTTTGGAGTGTGGGGATCAAACTCACGTCTTCAGCATTGCCCCATAAACAAGCTTATTTACAGAATCACCTCCCCTGCCCAGTAAATAAACTTCTGTTTGTTTTAATTTCTTTCTTTTTCCATCTTTACACTCTCTCTTCATAGGTGTATCTGAAAAATCTATCCAATTCATATTTTCAAATGATAGCTTTGATTTTTGCTGATCCCTCCTAAAGTGCGGCATGCTGTACTTTCATACTGATGTACTAATTACTATTTCCTCACTTCATTCTTTTCCCACGTATCATCAGTGCTAACTGTGTTACCTGGATTTACTGAGGTGTGGAGTTGTGGAGCCTTGACAGGGTGGTCACAAATGTCCTGTACCCTACCTGGTCACATTTCATTGTCAGTATTTCCTGCTCCAGGTGCACGTTTCTACTAAGATTCTGCCAGCATATTTCAAATTGATTTAAAACCTTATGAATTGCAACATCCATGTACCTGATATATC